AAAATGTTTTTTTGTAATTCGCTACGGTAATGGAAGCTATAACAGTACTCAAACGGGTGCTGTAATGAGACTCCTTACAGGATCCGATGTTGTAATGAGATTTTAGGAACATTTTATGGAACCAGTTCAAGTTGGTGACATTGGGTCATTAATTTTTCTAGTTGTCAATGTGACAATTTTTGTCTATGGATGTTTAAACACCTTCTTAGCATCGAATACAATGATGAGGACATTGACTCTGAGCAATTTCTCTTATTTTGGGAGGTGTACATCAAACATTTTTTTCAGGTGAATATATTTTGTGTTTTGACAGTTTTTAATTGTCAATTCAAAGTTTCTATTTTCAAGTGTTCCGGTGTTACCAACTGCTACATACCTATTTCCCTACATTGCCAAAATTTACTTTATTTTTGTTAAAAAAAGGTATAAAAACGGGAATTACAAAAAATAGCATAAAAAACACGTTTCATAAGACGCCACTCGTTTTTCAACTTGAATTCGTGCATTTCAAGCGTGTCTTACGAAACTTGTTTTTTAATATTCTATTACAGAAATTGTACGAATTTCCAAGAATATCCAAGAAAAAAGGATATCCATTAATAATATCTAGGATTTTAACGATTCTCAAAGATTCATACAAGCATTTCCAAGTAATCCCATAAGATTTTCAAAGATACCATTCGAATTTCTCAGGTTTTTTGAGGAATCAAACGAGTTTCTAGAGATTTCCACGGATTTTCAAGTTTACTAAAAGGTTTTATGAAAATTTCCAAATACATCCAAGGATTCTGTAGCAATTTCCCAAAATTTTTCAAGATAACCAAACATTTCTAGAGATTTCAAGGAATATCCACAAATTTACGAATTTCTTAGGATTTTTTAATGTATCCAAGGTTTTTGAATGAATTTTATAAAAATTGGAAAGATAGTTATAATCATGTATAATACATCAAATTTAAGCTAAAAGTGTGTATTTTAATTTATTTCAAATAAACATTGTCCTAAATTAATTAATTTTTCCAGGAGAACGTTTAAAAAAATCCGTTTCGACTAAAAAGTGCTAATTACCAAAAATCGTCATGATGCAAAATGCTAGTTATCTCATAATTAAAAATAGTTATAATCATGCAAAATACATTACATTCAAGCTAAAAGTGTGCATTTTAATTTATTTGAAATAAACATTGTTCTAATTTTATTAATTATCTTGTGGGAGTTTTTTGAAATTAATTTGAATTTTGATTAAAAACTGCAAATCATCAAAAATCGTCGTGATGTAAAATGGTAACTGTCTCATAATTAAAAATAGTTATAATGATGTATAATATATCAAATTCAAACTAAAAGTGCGTACTTTAATTTATTTCAAATAAACATTGTCCTAAATTAATTAATTTTTCCAGGAGAAGGTTTTAAGAAAAATCCGTTGTGATTAAAAATTGCTAATTACCAAAAATCATCATGATGCAAAATGTTAATTATCTCATAATTAAAAATAGTTATAATCATGCAAAATACATTACATTCAAGCTAAAAGTGTGCATTTTAATTTATTTGAAATAAACATTG